ACAACAAAAAAATGAAATCTGTCAGACTGCTGAGAGTAATTCTCCTAAAAAAGCAGACCCATCATTACCTAAAGTCTTTATTTAAGGATTAATAAGTTAATTAATCAAACTTAATTAAACTCTATTCCACTCTGCGTGAAATAAAGATACAGCGCTGTTTGAAGGTAATGAGACCGGTGTGATAAACGCCTCTAACAGCTTCTTAAAGTGAGTCCTGACTTTCCTCCCGCAGTCTAATTAGCTAATGTGCAGTAAGCAGGCGGCGGTGACTCAGCCCGTTAGTGATGAGTGTGTACAATAAATAGGGCTGCTGTATTAGTCTGCATATCCTGCTGAATCAGTGTGATTGCCGGTGTTTATGTAAGTCAAGCTGTTAGCGCTGTGTATGTGAAACAATAAATAATCTGTTTTAGCAGGAGATGAAGTGGAGGAGAGAGGATAGAGGAAGGAAAAAGGTAGTGACGAGCTGAAAACACATCACAGGAAGAAACAAAGGAGGGAATTCACCACAGAACAGAGCTACAGTAGCTGTATGGACAGTCAACTCATCTAATGCTAAATTAGCAGTTAGCATTGTATTAGCTACTTACAAATTCATTAGAATGCCATGACTAACCATGGATAAAACTTTGGTGTAGATTCTCTGTAATCCAGGTCTTGGTGATCCTAAAATCTTAAATTCAGATTGAAGAAACCTCTTGGATGAAGGCGAAATATGTGAAAGCACCAAAAGGAGACATTTGGTTGCTTTTTAGTGGAGAACTCAGGACATGATTATAAACACGATTTCATCAGCTAGATTTTTTACAATTAAGGAGGGTGAAGACAACAACTCCGATAATCCCAAACTTCTTCCTGACATCAGTAAATTATTTTGTAATTTTTTAATGAGAAGCAAAAATGACATACTTTGCCCTTCTGCCTTCTCAGTTCATACGTTGTAGATTTCTCTCCTCGCTTATTTCGCCTTAAAGGAAAAGACACCATGAGAGGCTACAGGTGTTTAAAATGAGACATCCTTGCTTTGGAGTTGTTATTTTGATGTGTCAGATGAACAGAACAGTGATAACTTACAGTCTATATTTACTTTTATTCAGTTCACAAGGTGGCATTGTTTACATTTTTTTTTTCTAAATTACCCCCACGTGCAGGAAAGTATAAAAAGAGTCTTGCCACACAAAGTAGTGCTATCCATGTGATATATGTAACATACGTACATTTGTCAGTCCTGGTCCCAACATGGTTTTAATAATCTAGTTATGTGTCACACCTCTTTTGTCACAGGAATAGAAAAGACTTTGTCAAGGATACGCTTATTGCTCTTCCTCTCACCCCATTTTTCAAGATGGCCGCCAGTTCTGATATTCGATCCCATCTATTTTTACACAGCACTTGCTTGGTTTCAGTATCAAAATAAATGCAATTTAGCTCGTAGAATCCAAATATGACTTTAATAGTAGGTTTTGCACGTTATTTTGAAAATATGTGGTCTTGTATAGCAATTTAGGGATTCGATGTGGATGTAGAGGTCAGGAAAGGTCAAAGTATGTAACTACATATGGTTCAGAAAATATCACTCGTTAACTTCTGCACTATCATTATTTTTGTCCAATATTGCCGATTCTGAATCAACAACATTATGAGAAATAGCTGTTACAATTTCAGGGTTTTATTTTTATCCTTAATAGTTCCTGAGATGCTATCCTCTAATCATAGCTTCCATTCCAAAAGCAATTTTTAAGATATGTTTATCTCGGAAAGTATTAAACATATCAAGATAAAATTTCACAGATATCTTTATAAATGTCCAGATTTTAATGCTATAGAAATTCCAGGCAAATCAGAAATGCTTGAGCAGAATATGTGATGGTTTTAGATGTTTATGTCAGGTAGTGATATGTGTCTGTGGCTGTTTTTGGGTCAGTAAATCCTCCTGCACTGAGTTTACATCTGTTCTGTCCTCCTTTGTGTTTATCAGCAGTCTTTCTAAAGCGTCTCCCCGTCGGCAGCAGCTGACTCATCGCTGATACTTTCTGTCCAACTTTCTCTTCAGTGCCATCTGTCCATCATCACCTCTGCACCGTATCTGATCTACTCTTTGTTTCCTCCTTTTCCATCATACAGAGACGGCTTGAATGTTTGTCTTCCTCCTACACCTTCATCCTCCTCCTCCTCCTCCTCCTCAGCGCTGCTCCCGTCTCACACCTCCTCCGTCCTCCCACCTTCCCTCGGTTTGTTTCGGAGCGGTGTGTTTTTTTTTAAACCACGCCTGTGTGTCTGTTTGTGCTCTGAGTCAGCACACTCAGCCACAGTGATCGATGCTCCCTGTCCTGACCTTGGAAAGAGCCGTGCAGCGTCTCCGAGCAGCCCCATCTTCCAGGGACGAGCTTGTTTGAAAACAGATACACCAGCTGGGGTTTTATAACTGGAGACCGGCGTGATGAGTCACTGTCAGCTCTCCCCTGTTGCACGACCATCTGCACGCCGGGGTGAACCGTTGTCAGCGTGCTGCTCCCTGGCTCTGGTCGGGGTTGAGCTTGGCAGAGGCCGGAGCTCGCTGCTAATGAAGGTCTGGGGTTTTTAGAAAGAGCTGAATGTGCCGACGTGACTCAGGCTTCAGTGCACCAGTCAGCCTGACCGTCTGAGAGGAAAATAACTGCAAGAATAATATAAATACTAATAGCCAGGTTGTGGTCTGAACTCAGTCTTGACCATGTTTATGTGTTTTGGCTGTTTGGTTCCTGGATCATATGAGGACTCGTCTGAGTAGTTGCAGATTTATGATTCCTCGTTGGTGTCTTCCTTTGAGTGATGCATTATGTAAATATGTTGTACATATTGTATTTTTGACCCTACGTGGCAGCACACAGCAGGTAGATGTGTGTCTGCGTCTGTATTATGTGTCAAGGCCCCCCTGGTGTAGGACCCTTGTTTGTCGTGACAGCACCACCTGCCATTTTGGCGGCATGCTACAGTGAACGACTTATGGCTTTTTTTTCACCCAAATAGTACTTTCTAACCAGTTATGGTTTTTATTCCATCCAAAATACCATTTTGTGTTCAAACACTAAAAGTTTAAAGGGTTTATTCCATCCAAATATTACTTTCTAACAAATGAGTTAAAGTTTCAGAGGTTTACTCAACCTGAAATACTACTTTATGTCCACGGACTTATTGTTGTAAAGGTTTATTAAAACCAATTAGTACTTTCTGTCCAAGCACTTATAGTTTTAAAAGTCTGTTCCATCCAAAATACCACTTTCTGTCGAAGTATTTGTAATTTTAGAGGTTTATTGCATCCAATTAGTACTGTCTGTCAAAGTATTTATAGTTTCAACAGTTTGGTTTTACAGCTTGTAGTTTTAAATGTTTGTTGCTGTTGGCTGTAAGAGTGAACACAAGAGTCTTCATGCACTCCCAGCATCCGGTGAACCATACACCCAGGGGATTATGTTTTTCACTGACGGCAATGTTGCCACAACAATGTAAAACTGTTAGCATTCGCGCTTTGTGCAGCTAATGTGGCTAATGTTAGCGTCACTAGTATATCTCGAGGTCAGAGCTCTGTGGAAACTAACACTGAGGGACACTTCAGAGATGATGGAAACTTGAATGTCGCTTGTTGTGCTTCAGTTTATGCTAAACTCAGCTGTTGTTGAAGTCTGTTAGCTTCTTTCCTGCTATCTCTGCTCATTTTAATACACCTGAAGTCACAATAGAGCTGTTCTCATTTACATATTTTGATGTTTCTGTTGTCTGACAGCACAGCGAGTATCAAATAGTGACTGAAACACAGTTAATTAAGACAACATGTTAACCAGCAGTCACCTCCGAGCCAAACTACTAAACTACTGATCTTGTAACCACAATGTTGACTGACAAGCTGAATTCAGGGATATTTCCATGTCAAATGATCGCTCAGAGAGAAAGTCCTGGTCTCTCGGGCTCTTTCACATCTGTCGGCAGTTAACTGTTTTTCACAGATGGAGAGAAAACATTTTTTAGGATCTTTTGAGCTGAAAAATTGAAAGACAGTCTGGGGAAACCTAAGACTCCCATTTATTCGCTGATAAAGGTGCACAATATGGGACCTTTAATGCTAACACTGCATATAAAGTGCATTAAAAGTAAAAGCCATTAAGAAAATAAACATTTACTTCCTGAAAAAACGGAACCGCTGAGGGTATTTTAGTACAGTTAGCCCTGAAAAAGTAGTTTTAATTACAGAAAACTGATTAAAAAGCGAAAATGTGTGTGGAAACCGTGTTATTCCACCGCCGTTAAAATATCCATTATGGTACAACAAAAATACAAAAACAGCAAAGATGTGAGTTAACGAACTACATGCGGATGCTGTTTGAATGTGAGTCTGTTAGTTTCTGCTGAACTCAAAGTAAAGTAAAGTCGTCTCTTAATAAATGTTTGATCTCACTGTATGAAGGTTCCTGTAGCTTTTCTTAACCAAATGCGACTCGGCCTCTGTTTCTGTCTCTGCAGGTCTGGTGGTCTTCCTCAGCATGATGGTGGGGGCCTTCCTGTGGGGAGGTCTGGCAGACAAAGTGGGCCGTCGGCGCTGTCTGATCGTGGCGTTGGCGATAAACTGCGTCTTTGCCTTCCTGTCGTCGTTCGCTCAGGGCTACGGCTTTTTCCTCTTCTTCAGGCTGCTGTCTGGCATCGGGTAACGCTCACAGACGCTCGTTATAATTGCAGATTGCATGTTTTGTTGCGTACGTTTGGGTCTTTGGGGGGCGACTACACCAGACAGTTAGCTTAATGGATCCACGTACAGGAAAAGACAATGAGCCTGTTGCCTTATTTGACAGAAATCTCTGCATTTTAATTCTCAATTCTTATAATTTTGCCCCCTCCCTACACTTGTGTTTTGAGTTTAATTCATTCGCCAAAAAAAGAGGCAAACCACACAAATTAAACATGCAATTAATGTTTTTTTTCTTTGATTTTCTATAGCGGTCACGATAATGCCTTGATCTGGTGTGATAACAGCCCCATGAGCCAGTGCAACTCAGTCTTTGTTAGATTTCTGCCAATTAATCATTATAATATAGTAATATAAATGATTCAAATCTGTCTTCTTGTGCCACGTCATATAGTCGTTAAAGACATCAAAGATAAAGACTTAAAATCTAAAATTACTTCGTTTTCAACAGCTTTTGTTTGTTTTATTTTATTCGTTTTTTTTAACATTGTGTGTTATATATAAATTCTTCAATACTCATTTTTACAGAAACAAAATGGAAGAAATCACCCTGAAAGTCAATTAGGAGAGCAACTAATACAGATTTTCACCACTAATATAACTTGTTTTCATTTAGGTTTTGTAAAAACATCTAAAACAAAAAATGCCAAAAATTGTTGCTGAGCTAAAGGTGGCGCCTTCAAACGTTCCCCAAATATTCAGTTTTAGTGATTTCTGCAGCAAATATCTTCTTTTAAGACGCTTAAATTTGCAGATGTGACTTTTAAAAAAAAAAATGTTTTCCCTGGAAAAATAAACTAAAGCAATTAGTCGAATTTAAAAATAGTCGCTGATTATTTTTCTGTTGATTGTATAATCGATTAGCTAATTATGTTAGCTCTACTATAGATTGTTTTTCTGTTGCATAAATAGTCTCACAGTCACCTAAAATGATTTCTGAGTGCCTGGGTTTCTGTTTGCTGCCATGTGGAAATGCAGACGTGCAACATTTCCGGCTGCTGCATCATTTTCATCAGCTTTCATCCATTAATGCAGCTTTTTAATGTGGAGATGAGCCAACAAGTGAAGCTGCGCCGAGTCTGAGTGTCGGCGTTTTGTAGCAGTGACACAGCAGAGCGCCGCTCTCAGAATAACCGAGGTCTACAGGGAGCCTCGCCGACTCAGAAACCAGGTCACATCCGGAGCTCAGAGACTGAAAACAGAACTTTTCGCCTCAGAGGTTCACGCAGTTTGTCATGCAAACCCTCCCTGCTGCTCGTCTGCACTGACACTAAAGCTTTTTACAGCCTGGTGATACAGATCTAACACCAGGAATCTGTTGTTGCCTCCAGAAGTTGACTAAAAATATCTGAACTTTACTCTGAGTTTCAGTTAAAGTTTGATACAACAAACTCCTTGTGTAGATTTATTCACCCTGAACCTGAAAATGAAATATTTTACTCCTCCATTAAAAACGTCTTCATGCTGATTTTATTTTTACGTTTTCTTTAAATAACTCCTTCCCCTCTCCTTGTGTCTCTGCCCTCAGTATCGGCGGTACGGTGCCGATCGTGTACTCGTACTTCTCCGAGTTTCTTCAGATGGACAAGCGAGGAGAACATCTGTCCTGGTTGTGTATGTTCTGGATGATCGGTGGCATCTACGCTTCCTTCACTGCCTGGGGAATCATTCCCAGATACGGTAAGACTGCTACGACACTCTTTTTTTATTTTATAGTGGAACAGAATCCTGCAAATACCACAAGAAGCGATAATTTTCTCATACAAGCAAAAAACTGGCCACGGATTTTTCATAAAAGAATGTTAGTCACAGAAATGTACAGAACCTCTGTCATGCAGTTGTGTATATTTTCACAGAACATGATCTTGTAGAGGGCTCAGTGGTTAGCACTGTTGCCTCACAGCTAGAAGGTTGCCAGTTCGCGTCCCAGTGAGGACACCCGGGATCTTTCTGCGTGAAGTTTGCATGTTCTGCCCGTGCAGCGTGGGTTCTCTCCGGGCTCTCTGGCTTCCTCCCACAAGTCCAAAAACATGCTGAGGTTAATTGGTGATTGTAAATTGTCCGTAGGTGTGAATGTGAGTGTGCTTGGTTGTCTGTCTCTAAGTGTAGCCCTGTGATAGACTGGTTACCTGTCCAGGTGAACCTGCCTTCACCCTGAGTCAGCTGGGATAGGCTCCAGTGACCCTAGTGAGGATTAAGCGGTGTATAGATGATGGATGGATGATGTTGTAGAACGATTTCCTTGGTTTTACTGTCAGAATATGTTGAATTTAGCATGTAGCATCCAAATTAGCATGTTCTAACACAATAACGTGAACCTTAATAGCATGTTTCACCAGATGTAGACTGTTTCTGCTGAACGTTTCACTTGTTGTTTGTGAGCAGGTTGGGGCTTCAGTATGGGCACAGAGTTCCAGTTCCACAGCTGGCGGGTCTTCGTCCTGGTCGCAGCTCTTCCTGCGATCGCCTCCCTGGTCGGACTCACCTTCATGCCTGAGAGTCCTCGCTTCCTGCTGGAGGTGAGACGCTGCAACGCTAACAGTGCTGCTACGCTAACAGTGTGTTCACATGTACAGACATCTTTAAGGTTGTGTTTGACACGTCGCAGCAGGTCCAGTGTTTGATACTGAACATCCTGAAGCTTTCTGAGATATTTAATAGAACAGATCAATAATTAGGGTAGCTTTTATGCTTCATTTTCATCTGCTTTGTGTGCGTTGAGCAGAATGCCAAACACGATGAGGCCTGGATGATCCTGAAGCATGTCCACGACACCAACTGGAGAGCCAAAGGGCAGCCAGAGAAAGTCTTCACTGTGAGTAGATGCAGATATTATGAAAACACTGACTGTCTGACACGTTTCACTTCACTGGATTATCAAGAACATAACATGTGAAGTTAAAATCATATAAGCGAGGCAGATATAAAGCAACACAGACAGACAGAAGAGATGTGTGTCTGATAAAACCAGGATATACTAAAAGGTAAAAATGTGTTTTGTTCCTGAGCGCAGCATCGTCTCTCAGCTTCAGATTAGCAGCAGTGATCTCTGAGAGGCCCTGAGATCTGAAGACATACAGGCACATGTTCTATCTAGCTGTCAATATATAGTTTTTGATCTACAAACAGAAAAAGTAGCTCATGACACTCGGTCACGATGGCTAACGCAGTGCTAGGGCTGAAAAGTGAAACTAATATCAACAGAGATCACAGTTTTGGCTTCCTATAATTAAATAAACACCATCAGCTGCTGTATTGAGATATAAAATATAGTTCACTCATAGAAAAACAAGCCATGTACATGAAAACCACTTCAAGTCGGCCAAATCTGACAGCAGAATGTGTTATTTTATTCTTTTCCAACTAATGTTTGGTCTCACCTGGCTAGCATTAACCTTAGCCTGCATGTGAGACGTTCAAGGAACTTCTGTAAATAGCAGCGTCTATCAACAAGCAGATGTTCAGCAAGTGAGGAGTTTATAGGACTGATATCAGAGAAAGAGTGTGGAGGGATGCGACCTGATCGTATGCTGATGCGACCAACTGGGAAGGTTAGTCTGAAACTCTGAGTCAGTAGCTGCATCGTTAGTTTGACGTAAAGAAGCTCAACATTATGTTAAAATGCGTCTCTACTTGTCTCCATGTTGACCTAATTCATGCCTGATAAATAATGACGAGGTTCACACGAAGCACGCCTCATTTGTTAGTCAGTAAATTGTATTTTTAGACATCTGAAGAAATCTGGATCTTTGATTTTGTTCTTCGCCTGAGAAAACTTTCACAGAAGCGTGTCGGTGTGCATCTGCAGGTAGACTGTGAGCTTTAAATTTCTAATAATGACTTTAAACATAAAACTGAAGCAGCCTAGTTAGAGGGGATGGATGAACCCAACAGCGTGAACTAGAACCTGACAGGAGCTGCTCAGAAAAGATGTGAAACGCTCCTCCTGTTGTTTTTCAGGTGACTAACATCAAAGCTCCGAAGACGGCCGAGGACGAGTTCATCGAGATCCAGAGCGCGACGGGAACGCCCGTCCAGCGCTGGGCTGTTCGCTCTCTGACGCTCTGCAAACTGGTACAAACTGACACACAACACCAGCTGTGCGTTTATGTTTGTGTGTTTCTATACTGATACAGATGATTAGTCGTTAAGGAGACAAAAAATTAAGAACCGACTGTGGTGAACATGAAAATCTTAGAATAACACAAAGTCGAACACAAAGCTTTGTTGAAATGCTGTTGGTTATTTATGTTCTACATCTGCTTAGTTAAAGAGACCTTTATCTGTTGAGTAGAGCTATAAAAACTAATTGATAAGTTGTCCACAATTAAATTATTCACCAGCTGTTTTCAAAACCAGTTTGAATCAATATTGTAAGATGTCCCACATTTTCTTGCAGATAAATAAATACTTTTGTGTACCAGAGCTGAAGCAGTTAATCGATTAGTTTTGAACTGTTGAATAACTCAATTTTTTTGATAACAGTTAATCAGTTCGAGCCATTTTTTTATGGAAAAAAAAATGAATTTTTTCCAACACCATGTTTTAAAAAATGTTTTCCAAAAAAAGTGCAACCAGTGTCCCACGTTTTCATGCAGATAAATTCATATATTTCTGTACCAGAGCTGCATCAATTAATCAATTAGTGTTCAACTGTTAAATTGACCACTATTTCAGTGATTGATTAATCAATTTGAATGATCATTTAAGATTAAAACAAAGTCTAATTTCTCAGATTCTAGTTTCCTAAATGTGATAATTTTCTGTTTCTTTCCTCCTGTGTGACAGTAAACTGGACATCTTTGTGTTTTGGGCAGAACATTTGTCATTTTAGGCGTAGTTAAAAAAAACATTTTCTGTCATTTTAGAGAGCAAACAACTTGTCGATTAATTCAGAAAATCGTCAATAAATTATTCGACTGTGAAAATAACTGATGTTGCAGACATGACAGCTGCATCAGAGCTCAGTAGCACATTTTAAAATTAACATATTTTATCGGAAATTGATTACAAATACATAACAGATGCTGAATATCAGATCAGATAATCTTTAGTCCACGTTAAACATCCTACAGACTGAACAACTCAGCAGCTTCATGCTTTCTCCATCTGAAAGACGCCTTCATCATTAAAAAGAGTAAATTGTGTCACCAGTGAGGCTCTTCATCTGCCTGTTTGTGCAGCTAGTTCAGACTAATGGAAGAGCACTGTCCTATAAATGAACTGATCAGATTATTTTAAATTGGTTCATTCACACCTGAGCTTTTCCACGTATCTCGTTCCAGGTCGCACGAATTGATTAATCAGAAACGACTGCATGAACAGCGCAGACGTAAATGTGACATTAATGTGATCGCATTAACTCTGGCCCCAGCTGGTTTTCTGTCACACTTTGACCGGAATGAACCCGTATTAAATTACATTCTGCATGTATTAAAAGGTTTTAAATGTAATTAAAGCCGCAAGCGACATTGGTGGGGTCCTCGC